CCAACTTTTGGACAAAAGTCCCCCTGTAGAAACACTTAAAGTTCTGTATCACACCTTGATCCATCGGTTGGATCAAAGACGTCACGTTTGGTGGCAAATATGTAGCGAAGATATTTCCACTTACAAGCTCTGAAGCGGGCGGATGTGCTCGACAGTTATCGAGCAAAAGAACAGCTTTACTATCCTCCGGTAGACCCTCCTTTCTAAAATTCTCCTGAACTGCGAGCACAAAATGATTAAAAAACCAGTCCTTAAAGATTTCTGATGTCATCCAAGCATTCCCCTGTGCCTCATAAATCACTGGCAAACTCGTAAGAGTTTTAAATGCCCTTGGTTTTTTGTACTTCCCTATGACAAGCTTAAGTTTATGCGTGCCAGATGCATTTGATTTGCACATACCAGAATTGTAATGCGGTCTTTGTTCATTTTGAAGCCATGAGCAGCCTTTTCACCACCGCCAACTAGAGTAGAGTTTGGCAAACAACGCCATAAGAGCCCAGTTTCATCAGCATTATACATTTGACAAGGTGACAACCTGTGTTCCTCCACCAACTGCTCAAAAATAGCACTATACTCCTCAGCGGCTACATGATTGGCAGACTTTTGCTCACCACTGATATCTAATTTACGGATCCCATGCCGATCCTTAAAATTACGCAACCAACCTTCTGAAAACACACATGATTCACTAATATTCATTTGACTGTGAAACTGTTTTGCTTTTTCTATGAGCACTGGCCCAGTAATGGGCTTACCTTCAGAACGCTTTGCACTAAACCACTTAAACAAAGCTACATCCAACTGTGCCATCTTAGGCATTTTCAGAGTTTGCCGTAGCTCAGTACGTTTAGTAGGTGCTTCACTTTCAGCAACAAATGCTCTGTTTTGCTTTTTCTATGAGCACTGGCCCAGTAATGGGCTTACCTTCAGAACGCTTTGCACTAAACCACTTAAACAAAGCTACATCCAACTGTGCCATCTTAGGCATTTTCAGAGTTTGCCGTAGCTCAGTACGTTTAGTAGGTGCTTCACTTTCAGCAATAATGCTCGCAATTTATCCTTCTGTTTCTTTATGTCATAGATTGTCGAAGATCCAACGTTAAATTTACTCATGATAACGTTCCGATTTATGCCTCTTTCTAGCATCTTTATAATTTCTAATTTCTGGTTCAGTGTCAGGGTTATATGCTTCCTTTTTAAAGTTTTCTTACCACTACTACTAGCACCTTCATTCACTTTTGACTCCATCACTATGTACACTCTGATGGGCAAAAATATTCAAAAGTCAAAACAGCACTCTCCAGTGGGTCACAATGCTAATGGCAGACTGACTCAATGCCTTCCGGTTCACTGGGTTCAACTGCTGCCTCTGGTTTTTTGCGCAAGCTCACTCACTTGATCTTTTGATCCTGGACTATCGGTCTACTGGTAAAAGCAGCAGGGACAGGGAGGGGAGATGCTCTTTTGTGAGTTTCAGCAGCAGCCTGTCACCTGCGGATCTACCAGTTCCCACCACCCCCTCGCAGTAGAGAGGAAAGTTACATTAACTGTGTGTCGGCTGTGGATCCAGCCGGAGTGACTGTAACTGACCAGAACGTCCTGAATGTGGCTGCTTTGGCACACCCTCGCCCCTTCCTCCTCCCCCTCCCCCTCTCCCACTGACCCCTACCTTCCCCTGCTCCCCCCTCCCGGCAGTAGAGAGGAAAATTACATTAACTGCATGTCGGCTGTGGATCCAGCCGGAGTGACTGTAACTGACCAGAACGTCCTGAATGCGGCTGCTTTGGCACACCCTCGCCCCCTCCTCCTCTCCCTCCCGCTCTCCCACCGACCCCTACCTTCCCCTGCCCCCCCTCCTCCCGGCAGTAGAGAGGAAAGTTACATTAACTGTGTGTCGGCTGTGGATCCAGCCGGAGTGACTGTAACTGACCAGAACGTCCTGAATGCAGCTGCTTTGGCACACCCTCGCCCCCTCCTCCTCTCCCTCCCCCTCTCCCACCGACCCCTACTTTTCCCT